GCTGGATTTTGCCGATAAGTTCCTCTGACTTTGCGAGCTACATTATCCTGGATTCTTAACGGCAACTTTTTTATGCCTGCACCTTATGTATTATTTACTGTAGTTTTTAATTGCCGTTATTACGAAGCAAAACAACCTAAGGATATCGATCATGTAATAGTGTAGTTTGATCGTGCGGGTGAGAGTAGTCCTGAGAAGGACTGTTGTCGGTAGTGGTGACTGACGTTTCGACAACCCGAGCGGAAGTCATCATCAGAGTCAAGTGAAAGGTTGTTGTCAGTCGAATGTACTTAGTCCGGTTTGTGTACACTGATTGGTCAGTTTTGCCGCGATGTAATTGGCTGTAAGACTCAAGTGGCGTAGGTCAGTTGTGATTGGTCGGTTTGGATCCGTTAGTGAAGTTAGGTCGTTCTGCTCGGTTCGTTTGTAATGTTAATGTCGTGGATGAGTCGTTTGTATGGTGCCGGTAGTGGTTGACACCTGTTGAGGGGAGTCTGTTCCAAGTTAGTAAACCAGCTTTTCAGGGTCAGTCGTTGAAAGTAGTTGGTGCTGTAGGTTAGGTATTGCGCAGAGTCCCGGTCAATAGTGTGGTTCGTAAGTCGGTGATGTTCAGCAATGTGATTGTTGACATCGCCTTTCCTCGTCGCTCGTTTGTGTTCAGTCAGTCTAGTTGTGAGGTTTCTGCCGGTCTCACCGATGTAGAAGGCGTGGTAGTCGGAGCAACAGATCTTATATACTGCTCCTTGTCTGTTCCTCGGTTCGTCTCTGTCTTTGATGTTAGTCAGTACGCCCGCACGATCAAACTACACTATTACAGGTTACCTCCGGGTTCAAACCATTTACCGATATCGATCATTTTGAATATTACAGATATTTCTATCATTGATCAAAGACTATGATTTATTTCTCTTTGTTTCACCCAAACTTTCTTCAGCTACTGTTTTACTTATGTTGTTCTTGAGCTTTTGAATGTTCTACATTATCACTCTAGGAAAAAGTTAGAAATTTACATTGTATTTGACCAAACAGACATTAAAAATTAACCGGATAACATTAATTAATAAGCTCCATTACAAATATTCGTCAGACTGATCAGCTGTTTATACCGGATGATCGTTTGTTCTTATTAACGTGACAACAGAGTCTCTACTACTAAATGTTGACATAGTGTATTCCCCTCTATGAAAAAAACAAAAAAAGTTTTCATGGAAAGTAATATTTGCTAACATTATTTATTCAAATTTGAATTTACTTCGCTCTAAGTTGAAACAATTGGCTGGCCTTTTCAACATGAAATAGTTTTCCAACGTACTGTTATAAAGAAGGACCGTCACTTAAATCAGAAATGGGCAACCAGCATTTTTGAAAAATGACTCAGTATAGTAAGAATAAAACAAAACAACATCCAGTGCTAATTTATTCATTTTCATAACAATCAGAACACGTAGACATGATGACCACTGAATAAATTACTCCGTTCTTTCCAGAAAAGATGGTTTGTGTCGCAGAATACGTAGAGGATAAGTTCAGGTAATGGCCAAACGATGATTCTTGCTTCGTTCATCACATATTCCCAAAGGTGCATGCGGTGAATCACTTTTAAAGATGATTTCTTTATGCGCTTTTTCTTGTCATATAAACAGAATGTCATATAAAATAGAAAATTACTTCACTTTCGCTTAATTTTGTCCATTAAGTGGTCATATGCTATTCTTAAATGCTAGATACTTTCCCGTTAATATTACGTGCATCCTCCCTGGATTCAAATCTTGTCTTAGTTTTCTGAACATGTTACCGTCAGTTGATAACCTTTTCCTTGCCTCTTGAACATGCACTTGTTTCATTTTAGACAATGATGTTATTGATACTGGATACCAAAACACGGAGGCAAAAGAAGACAAAATGAGCCTATTCTGTTAAGAGTTCAAGTTATTTTGAAATAAGTTTTAGGGACCTTGACAGTAGAAGGATAGGGTTTATTTTTCAGGGAGCAGGTCGGGCATAGAAACTCTTTCATTTTTAAACCTTTGAGGCGACAGTTTTGCTGTTGTGTTTTTTTTTTATTGTAGGACTGAGGCCTAGAGAAGTAAAATACATATTCGTTAATAACGATTTTCTTTTCATTGAGGAACGGTTGCAGTCAAAGAGCAACTCACGTTGTTAGGCTTGGCTAAATCTATGTATCAAGATAAAACCGCAGATAAAACCATTATTTTTAACTCTCTAAAATAATCATCCTCTGCACTGTCGCCTATTTTTGTCTATGTTTAGAGGCATTAACGAGAAATGGTAGGAGATATTCATTTTACCTTTTAAGTTGGCAACATCTAAAAAACGGCAGTTTAGTAAGCTCATGAGGAGACTTAACTTATATATGTCAATAACACGTTGTAGGTATCTGGACAATACATACAGTCGCTTCTATGAATCGCTTGCTAGCATATTCGTAATGTTTATGTCGCTTGTATTAGTTCATTTGGATCTACCGTTTAACTGTTTAAACCGCCTGACTGTTTAAACTGTCTCTGTCTTGAATACTGGATTCCAAGAATTCTTCTTGTGTAGGAGAGATTTTGTCTGAACGACTTTCATAAATGCAGACATTAACCTTAGACATTCAAAGTTTTTCAAGCTGTTAACCGTGGCCAGTTCCACAAAAAAACATTGAACAAGGACAGTTGTACTTTTTAAGGCTCGAAGTATGATCGTCATCTTTTGTAAAGGGTACTATTGGAATGTGTCTCCAAAATTTCCGCGGAATAGTTATACTGGCTTCTTCATGTTGATGAAAAGCTGGGCACGTCATATATATACCTCTCTGCATGTATCTTTTCAAAACTGGGGTTTCCCAATCAGCTTCTGCTTCTTTGTTGTTTCCACAAAAAAATTATAAAGACTCCAAGCAGTCCTCTGGTGAATTGAAGGAATAACAAATCGAGAATAACGGGCTACGCGCTTTAATTTCATCTTTGAGAGAGTCAAAATAGCCATAAGTTAAAGAAAGGTCATTTGCCTTGTAATTGTTTCGAGAGAAGCAGTCAACCAAATGGTAGGTGCCAGTTGATCTAACAGGTCAAAAAGTTCTAATAATGGCAGGACAGATCCAATGAATGACGAGGAGTCAGAAATATCCTCAGACAATACAAATGCGCAACGACTAAAAAGTTCTTGGCAAGAAAAAGAAAAATAATAAAACACGAAAACAAAGGAACAATGAAAATGGGACTCAGTCCAATGCCAAGATCTCCGATAATTCCATTATTGTTGCCGCCAAAAATTCGATTGGCGTATCTTTACAAATTCGAACTCTTCTTTTGTCACATTTTATCCAGACCTTTTGTTCTACGCGCATAACTTTCATCAATGTTCCGATACTTTTTCCTGAATAATTTCCTTTTGTCTATGTCGCTTGTATTAGTTCATTAAGATCTACCGTTTAACTGTTTAAACCGCCTAACTGTTTAAACCGTCTCTATCGATCGCTTTACGTCGCTTTAAATCGTCTTTAATTTCCTAGTGGACCCGGATCTTGTATGACGTTTGTAAGTATCTTTTGCCGTCCTTCATTTTTTTTTCCTCATTTGTCAATTTCTTTAACCATAATCGTGATAACTTATGACTTGTAATTTTTTTATAGCGACTGCTTCCATTTGAATGACTTCACTTCGTTTCGTTTGGCCATTTTGGAAGTGAAGTTGGACATGTAACGATATTTTTGGCTATCACAAGTACAACCCTGTTAATTGGAGTCTCCATAATAACGAGCTATCCATTGTACAAAGCTGGAAAAAGGCGTAGGCTATCGCATAAGGGTCAAACTATTCTCTAAGGCCATTATAAAATTATGAAGGACAACCTCAGAGCTTACCTGGAACATTCACCGCACCGAGTTGTTCTCCATAACGGCACCAATGGCCTTAAACATAAAAACCTTTGCAAGATGCCAAATCGTTCGTAGACAAATCGAAAACTCGTCCGATGCCACCCTCGCTATATCTGAGCTTACTTGTAGAAGTGATGAATTCAATGGAGCAGAGCTAGAAAAAAGCGAATAAACATCTAAAGAGCTACTGCCGTCAGAATAGATGGAAACGTATCCAGCGCCAAAAAAACACAGAATGGTCTAAACAAGGGAGGACTGTATCTTAATTTCAAAGGTAATTTGGAACATTTTTAATAACTTTCAAACAACCAATCGTCGAAATTGCACACTTTCCACGAATTTCGTACCTACTTAGTGCACTACAAGCAACGCTGAATCCCGTATACTAAATGAAAGTGGTAAAGAACCTACATCATTATTGCCATCTAAACGTGGTTTTCAATTAGCCTTTTCGACTTTTTGATTATTAATAAATTAACTACTCATACAGAAGAGCTTAGAATTTTTCTGGCACCAAGTGAAATAGATATATCATCGATTAGTGAGCAGAACTACTAGTAAGCTCGACGAGACTGTAAAAGACAACGAGCCCCCTTCTTGGGCTACGATTTAGTTCGATGTCAGAGATCAACAAGCGATGGACGAGAAGTCTAACTTATGTTGGGCACAACAAACTCGAAGTTCCATCACTGTACACAACCTATTATAAAAATGTAACGACTTTGTACTTTTCATTGTTTCAATCTTGTTTCAAATTTGTACCTAATCGTACATTGTACATAATCTTAAATATATATATATATATATATATATATATATATATATATATATTGATAAGATTACCAAGCCTATGTACCTAAAGCCTCGCATTGTGATAAACTGAAGTTCACAATGATCGTAAAAATTTACAAGGCTCGCCAAAGCTTTTAGAGTAATTGTTTAAAACAAGGACCTATATCTTTTAGCGAGTTAAAAGTGGGGGCATATTAATTTCCAGTGAAACAGATTTACGCTCAGCTTCTCGAGTCCCAATCAAACCCGATAACCCTTGAAATTATTTGGTTCCACCTTGTGGGGCTGCCAACAGGTTTCAAACGATGCGAGGGGTCTGGGAATTAATTTTTCGTAAAGGTACGATCAGCAGGCGACGTGCGTTGTTTTGAGGTTAGTGTAGTAATAATAGTAATGTAGGCACAATGTAGGTAACATCCTTTCGATGAATTTCTGGCTGATTTTGCCAAATAAAAGTTTAAGTTCTTAACTCGGAGGATGGGCTATTTTTGATGGAAAAGTTAGCATCTTTCAAAACTGTTAGAGGCTTGTTCACATAGAATGTTAAACATAATCACTGCTTTTACACCTCTGATCTTGTTAGTCTCGTGCTTCGGTTAATTGTCAACTTGGGAAACATCTAACTAAAAGATTTGATACCGGTAGGGTTTTAGCTGGTGACAAAAGGGTCGTAATGAAGCAGGGACGACCTCACGCGGACGAAGATCTTGAAGCGAAAATCATATCGAGTGAGATCGGATGCTTCGGTTCCGTCCTGTTTGCAGTGTTTGTGGCCGAAGGCGAAGCTTGTGGAAAATACGAACACTTGGTGAGCCAAACGTGGTGAGTCATCTTATATTTGATTTATCCAAATTTTTATTCCTACAAACATTCTAATAGACCTTTTTACAGTTCCCAGCGCCATATTGGAAATGTAACCGCGCACGGTTAGGGGCTGGGGTTGACTCGCGTTAAATCTCAGTGAGCGCTTCGTACGTGGGCAGTAAAACTGTTCGATTTTTAAGGAAAATGGATGGTCCTATCCGAAATCTCGATAAAGCTAATTTTTCTCCCACAAAGAAAGGAAAGCAGTGTGCCGCTTTTGGTTATTCAAATACATTTTATGGCCCCAATGGTTTGCCTACGAGCTTTCACTTCAAGTTTATGCACGGAGGCATGTATTTTTGCTAAGTATTTATCGTTCTATACTTATCTTGTTCTCTGTGAATTATGGATGAGGGTAACTATTGTTGCAAAATTAGTACAAATTTTCTAGCAGGTACCTGAATTGTTTTAAGTTCAGTAGAGTTTTTTTTATTTCGGCAGCAAGTCAAGAAGTTCATTGCTAATCACCTGTTTACTACATGGCTTGCCTAAAACACTCCCAGCAAAGAAACTCTTGGAAAGTAATTGCTTTTAATAAAATAACCAACACTCTATCTTCAGAGTTTTCACTTATTATGGCAGACCCAGAAAACTGACTCAAATTTGGTAGCAATTGTGACAAAAGCAGTTTTCAGTAGTTGTTGTTTTTGTTTTTTATGATAGCATAGTAATCCACTATGGATGCCACATGGAACTCTCAAAAAATATTTTTTGTGCTTTATGTATCAATCAATTTGATGCTTCAGATTGAAAAAAAGAAAAAGTGAGTTTCTCCAACTAAAAGAGTTCTTGACTTGAACTATGACACTAAATTTTAATATTCACAAAATTGTCCTCATAATAAAAAGTTTGATAGAAGTCTCACAAAAAATAATTTCCCATACACTTCGATGGTCTGAAAGATTCTCTTTCAAACAAATCTTATGATAACTATAACGGGATAAAATAAATACCTTGATTTGGATATATTTCTCAAACTTTTAAGTATCTTCTTTACATCTCAAAATTATATCATAACATTGGTTAACACAATGCAATAAGAACTAGTTTAGCAAACCTTTGTGTCAGAAGGCCTCTAAGTGCTAAGAATGGGAATATCAATTCACTGAATGTTTATCACCGACGGAAAATTAAATGTGTGTAAAGGACTAGCATTGTTGAGATCAGTAGCTGAGAGGAAGCATTTCTGTTCTCTTCCTTTAACCCTTAAATACCCAAGATCTGATTGTCAATTCTCCCTTCTAGTTGCTACACATTTACTTGTAAATAAGTTATAAGAATTTGATGTAAGATCAAGATAACTTCTGCCTGATAAGTTTCAGTATTAACGTTATCTGTTTGCTGGATAGTGTTTAGAGAAGTTACATGAATCAGTCACTTCTGTGAGTTTTTAAATTGTGTAATATTTTGGTCTAATTCTTTCAATGGTGTCTTGCCACCTAACAAATTACCATGAGTCACAAACTGAAATGGTTTTCAATGTATCACGAGCATAAGTTGTCCTGAACCAGATGGGTATGAAAATATTATTACATCTGTTAGTTTCAGTTTTCCTCATGGGTTGATAGAAACAAGGGTTATAATCAAATGGTTCTACAGGCTCTATTGTATAGTTTCCTGTAAGATAAAATGTACAAATGGCAAACTAAAAGACATCTTGGTGAACAAAATGGGAACAACTTTAACTGAAGAATATGGTACAACAACAAGTACCATATCAACAACAGCATCAATAACAAATCTCCTCTACCTAAAGAGCTGCAGTCGTTGCCTCACTTTCTAAGCCATCCTGAACAGCTTCTGTGGTACTTCCTATGATGCGTTCCTCTCAACATGATGTGGCAATATTCTTGTGAAACAACGTGGTAATTGTAAAGCTGACTGAAATTCATCTCAGGTAAATTATGGAGATTACTCACCCATCCAAGGGCTGAAATGCTTACCATAGTTGCTTCGTATCTAAAGTCGCTCTGGTTTTGTTCTAGGTCCTGGACATCTGTAAGAAGTTCTTGGTTTTCTCCACTACTCGATGGAAGGACGTGTTGCATCAGCAAAGCATAAACTTTCAACACTAAGTCAGCTCTAATTCAGCCTGTTGATTTTAAATTAGATTTTAGAATCTCCCTGGGATCTTTTGCTTCAAGTTTCTGGATGTCATCTAATGATGAAATTTCCATATTGTTGTGTTAAAGAACTATTTTGAAGGGAGAAATTGCAGTGAAAAGTGCATTAGATTGTGAAATGTCAGCAGATCAGCTGTATGAAAGAACCGCCGGGTCAACCCTAGTGTATCGTGTATGCGCGGTTACTAATCCAATATGGTGCCAGGAACTGTTAAAAGGTCTATTCTTGACATAACACATACATCTGTGCCAGGTTAATACATAAGCGACCAAATTACACGAATGATGAAAATATTCTCACTACAGTTAAGTGGATGCCATTTGATTATTTTTATAAATTCCGTCTTTAAACTATTACTTACAAGGTATTTTATAACTTAGACTTAGAAGAAATAAATTCCCTAGTTGTTAAGAGTATACATATTCTCTATAATGTATTATTCTCAGATAAATCTGCACTCAAAAGACTGTCGTAATAAAGAAATCAGCATCCATAGAAGTGAAGTTTGTAATTGAGATTATAAACACCTCAAGCTGAAAAACAAACTTTTGATCTCATGAAACAGGCATAAAAAGGAAGCAGATGTATCACAAAAAGAACATTTATGATAATGATCTAAGTGGATGTGAGAAACATTTTTTGCTTTTAAAGGTAGAAGATGGTCTAAAGAAAGAGTTTGCTGTGGAGCTCCCCATGCCCCAGACATGACCAGCAAGATCAAATTTTTCCTCAAATTTTCAGAAATCGAGAGAACCTATACAAACCAAGACTGTATGTTAGTACTCTTATTGGTGTCTACTGAGACAAGGAAAGAGGATAGCAATTTTTGTACAACAAGTATTTACTTCACTTAATGGCTTGTTGATACAATATGCATATCATGAACTTGTTTGTTACAAGACCATATGGTTTCTGTTTTAACTCAAGTGGTCAGGCCTGTAACCACCAAAATTTTCCAACCAAGGCACTATTCAAAAGATGTGCTAGGATTTAATTTTACAATAGAATTTGGGGTTCGGACAATAGCCAACACTATCAATCAAATATTGGACATGTAAATTACCTCCTTTTTTTAATTGGATTGTAAAGGAGGCAGTAATTACTTTCAGGATCATTATTTCATACTCCTTGTGTGATTGCATATTTTACCTAAGGTGTCACATGGAAACACTCAGTCCAGTAGAAAGTACAAGTCTAACTTATCTTAAGTGTTGCCAAAGGATCAGGGAAATACAAAGTAATTGAATGTAAGGGTGATTCTTCTGTGGCCTTTAGCATCCCAATGTAAGAATTAGATGGAGAATGGTGGATATGTTCGGAAAGAACTGTTCATCGCAGCAAGCCACAGATTTTATGAGAGTTGTTCCTCTGCCATGGTTATGTCATGGGACGTCGTTCCAATGGGTAACCCGTGAACCCAAATGATTCTACAGACAAGAAGAAAACATTTTGTAATGCTTGCAGTGAGAAAGAAAATTGATGTATAACCTAACATGGCACACTATAGCGATTCATAACCATGCAGATTTTCAAACTGCATTTTGGTTGGCTACTGAAAAAAATGATCACATCGCTGACTCCTATCAAACACCAAAGGCTCACCTCTTGCTCAAACATCTGGGGCATGGGGAGCTCCACAGCAAACTCTTTCTTTAGATCATCTTCCTCAGGGGTTAGTTTCCTGACATTTGCAGGAACAAGCAGTGTACCTTGTAGTGCACCTTTCTGACCCTGGGTGTATCATTCATTCATATGCTTGGTTACCTGATCCAGGAAGGGGCAGTAATAATTCAACCTTTAAAAACAAAAAAAATATGTTTTTCACATCCACTTAGAATTAGTGAATCATAGAAAAGGATATATTAAAACACATACCCATAGTAGTCAGAAGTTGATTGAGTATTTGCATGAGCCTGATGCATTTTTGGCTTCTGTGTGTGCTTTCATCAGATCTTATGTTGTTGACTGAAGGAGGACAGAAAAAGGTCTTGTATACCCCAATATGTGCTGAGTTAGGACTGCTGAAATAATTACCTAAGCTAAACTTTTCCATGGCATGAAGAAAGCTAGAGGTGTCATTTGAAGACCTGCCTGTGGATTGTGTCCACTTCAGCAACTGTGTCATAGATCTTCAGGTAGTTTGCTAACGGCATGCCAATAGAATCTGGCCTGGAAAGCCATTGGGTATCACTCCGAGTTAGTGGAGTCTCGCTGTGCAGGCTGGTTGTGAATAAGCTTTCTTCATGCTCCTCTCTTGGGCAGTCAGACAAAAAGCCATCCACTTCAGAAGTAGTGACTAATATCTCCCTATGAAACATAGTTTGATGCTACTCTGGTTTGCAGATTTAATGAATGTAACCGAAGAAGTTACAATTCCCTTTCTCTTAGCAGAACATGAAAAGAAGGTCAGCTGTTGAAATGTTGTCACAAAGTTCCTGATTTCTTGTACTTTATTGCAGATGGCAACAATGACAAGGTTCAAGCAGTGACTTGAGCAGTGGATCAAGTATCTTGCATTAGGATAGTGCCTTGTTATCCTTGCTTGGACACCTGTGCATGCCCCACTATGTTAGAAGCGCCATCAAACCCCATTCCCAGTAGTCAATCAAGATGGATCCCCCACTGGCTGAGGTTCTCAAGAAGTGATTCAGTTATTGTTGCTGAAGCAGTGGCAGGTAAATCCACAAAATCAAGAGACAATTCATGTGCAGCAATTTCATTTGCTGCAGACCTTTTTAACAAATGGTATGCAAACTGCCATCTGTTCTGTCATCGATACGTCAGATGACTTATCTGCTATGATACTGACAAACTTTGATTTATTTAATTTGGAGATTAAAGCACAGGGAATACTATTACTGATATGGTCAATCATTTCATTCTTGATTTGAGGAGATAAGTACCATGCATTTTTAGGGGTTGTGGACAGGTGCATCAACAGGTTTTCATTGTATTTTGCTGACCAATTGCCAAAAAATTCAAAATTGATATTTTCTCTTCTAGTAGAGCTATCCCAGCTCCCACAAATTCTTAATTGTGAAACTGTAAGCAAGGTTGTTGTGTAAAGCACTTCAACCACAAGAATGAGGATGTTTTCTAGAACTCAACCATTTATTTTTGTACATTTCTCAACTTCAAAGGCGTGTAAATCACATGACTTGAATATCACTCTAGCAATGGCACACAATGCCTACAAACAAGACAAAAAATATTAAAGCTAAACAAAATGTCGTTGTTCAGTTGCGACAGAAATTTTCAATCCTATTACAAATAGGCTTTTGGTAAGTCTTCAATTTGACCATTTGCACCATGACTTGCAGAACAAAAAGCTAAGGAATTCAACAAAAAAGCTGCATTAAATTCCCCATGAGTCTTGTATAAGTGTCTCATTTGATTTGAGTTTTTGAGTGGAAAAAGACCAGATTTACATAATGTTGCCTTAACTTTGGTAGAATTCTTAGCTGGAGAAAGATCTGATAGGTAAAATGGAGTTATTAAGCACACAATATGTGCACAATATTACATTGCAGCTAATAAGCTGAATTGTGTGAAATTAACAGCAATTTTTTTAAAAATTTAATACTATGCATAATCTTTAAACTTTTCATGATCAAATTTGAAGTATAAGATCTAAGCTAATACATATCTTAGTTACTAAATACTTCTTTTATGTAAAGCTGATATTTATGACAAGTTGAGATTAGAAATTTGCTTTTCTACACATACATGTAGTCCCAAGTGTTACGTATTCTATTGCTCTGTGGAGATCCTCAAAGTCACTTCAGCTCCTTGAGGATACCAAGCCTTCTACAATAGCACTTCGGTTAGTATTATTTCTCTCTTCACGAAATACTCCTTGTCAAGATATAGAGACAACCTTAAACTCTACGTGCAGCGCCCCAAATGTGACCTTCTGTGCTCTTCCTTCTTTCATCAAGCTTGTATATTATGGAATAACTTACCTGCATTCTTAAAAAGCACACTTAACATTGAATCTTTAAATGAACTCTCAAAGCAAAATGTGACATTTTAGATAATATCTCCTTCAATGGAATTCAGGGAAACTTGATTATTGAAACTTCTGATTTTGCCTTACTTTATTTACTGTAATTAAATTTAATTAGCTTCTTTAGTTTGTGAATATTATCTTTCACTTAATTTTTCAGATATTAGTTTTTAGGTGCACATCTGCTTTTTGGCTGCCATTTTTAATGACCTACATGCAAATAAAGTATGTTATGTTATGTAGATGGTATAAAAGGGCATCTTTTTCTTACAATTCTTGTGAGCCGTCTTTGGAAAGTTTGATTGTTCCCTGTTCTGTACTTTGGTTGGTGCTTGAGCGGTACCATTAACCTTGGCATTTAATACAGACACATGAAGTCTCTCCCAGGGGGAATTTAGTTAACGAAAAGGAACACTAGACAAAGAAAGGGCCAATCCCCACTTACAGACAAAATTGCAATTGTCCATGACAAAATCCAAGGACAAATTTTGTGGTGACAATTTTTCTTTTGTCTGTTGCATCCGCATTGACAAGGTTAAAGTCTTCAAATTGTGCTAACATTGTCAATATTATATTTCATTATAATTTATTCAATTCTGCTGCACGCCAAAACATAGACTTTGTCAGGTAGGATAATGGAGTACATTCAAATTTTGTTACTTGTTGCATTCCTCTGTCTTGTAAATATTGATCAGATGGCGGATGAAATACTCCTTATGGTGTGCCTGTTGTTGAGGCATCAATATCTTCGAAATCAAGAGGCCCTCTTAACGATTGAATACTGTCGAAGACAGAGATGCTGGGCACATTGACACAACCCATACTTTTGGAAACTTCCAAAAAGTCTTGGTTTGAGACTCACTACAATGACCAAAGGATTCCTGGGGATTATTTCAGAAAGCAACTATGAATGAACCGATGTACCTTTGATATTTTGTTGAATGTCTTGCAGCTGGCTGTAACTTGTGGAATGATTGCATGACTGCAATGCTCCAGAAAAAGTTCTCGTACTTGGTTTGTACTGTCTAAATCACAGCAACTCGTACTAAAGTATTGGGCTGGTTTTCAACGTTAAAAGGTAGACTGTTCTAGAAGCAGTACGAGATGTTGTGGAAGCCCTTTTCAACCTCAGGAATGATTACATAAAGTTTCCCATCATAAAGGCAGAAACACGGCATTGCATAGAGACATTTCAAGATGTTTCTGATTTCTCAAACATTGTTGGTGTAATTGATGGATCCCATATAAGAATAGCTGCCCCTCCAGATAGTGCTGTGGACTATTTCAGTCACTACCAAAAACACGACTTCATCGTTCAAGCTACTGTCGATGGCAGGAAACACTTCCTTGACTTTGCATCTGGCTTTCCAAGCAGTATGCATGATGCGAGAGTTTTACAAAATAATACAATATTTGATCTTGCAGAGCATAATCAGATTCTGACAGGTGATTCTGTGTAAATTGGGGATAATGATATCAAACCCCATCTAGGTGGAGACAGCGCATACCCACTTGCCTCCTGGCTTCAAAAACCATTTCCTGAAGCAACGAGAGATCCAGAGGAAAGAGCTTTCAATAAAGCTTTGTTGGGTGCCAGGGTGGCTGTAGAGTGAGCTTTTGGGATGCTAAAAAAGCACTGGTGTATACTGGAGAAATGGCTGGATAGTAAGATTTCATTTGCCAATGAAATCCCTGTTGCTTGTGCAGTCCTTCACAACTTTTGTCTGCTGAATCAAGACGAATGGAATCATGATGAAAATGATGACCCTCAAGCTCAAGGACATGAAAGCAACAACAATGATGTTATAAGGGATGGGGATGACGTTCAAAGTGTGTCAAGAGAGTACATTGCAAATGCGTGACTGAACAACTTGTAATTGATATTCTTTCTTTGCAATCATGAAAATGTAATTTATGAGTCCAAAAAATTCATACCCTTACGATTTCAATGAACTATTAAAAAAAAAACCAAAAAAATCGAGAGTTAAGTTATGATTGCTTACTATTGCTGTTGTGTTCTTAATTTTTTACTTTTACAAAACGATTGAAATTACAATAAATTTAATCAAAGCATGTAATCCATGACCCGTTCTTCACTCTAAAATTATTTTAATAAATCGTCTGATCATTTGAAATGGAACTCAAATATATTCCTATGATTGTAAACGATCAAAAAGACGAAACTGTTTTGTAATATTGTAAACTGAATCAAACCATATTACAGTAATCACAACAGTTTCCTTACTCGAAAATGATATTAATAAAGTAAAAGCAATGTAATAAAATAAAATCATCAGACTTAACAGTCCATTGATAAAAAGGTAAACTGCTAGGCATTTATTTTTTATCCTTTATGGCTTCCAGAAGAGAGCCCATGAAGGATGCCATCATTTCTAATTGTTTGCTGTGGTTCTGCTGCACACTCTCCATAAATGAATAAGCTTTATGCCTTGCTTTTCTATGGATTCTAGGCTTTTCTTGATGGAAATTGCCTCTTCCTCTCTGGTGTCTTCGGTCGGCACTGTCCTCTTTGTTGTGCGCTTCCTTTCTTTCCAGCACTGTTTGCTGGGACTGGCCAGATTGACTTCAGCATCAGAGATTTCATTGCTGGTCCCACTGGTGCCACTAGTAGCAATGCTACTTTCTGGAGGACTTGGTGTTCAGCTCGTGCTTGGCTGTGAGCCATCATGATCACTTGGAGGGTTTGCACTCAGAGAAGATGGAGAAGTGGTGCTTGTCCCTGCTTTAACCACGTGTTTCATGGTAACAATATCTCGTGTTCCAAGAAATCAGTCTATTTTGTCGTAGAAAACACTTTTAACTATGTGACCTCTTGTGTGACTCTTGCTCCATGACTTTGCGTCTTTATATTTGTCAATCAGATACTTGATCTTTTGCTAGCATTTTTCGGCTGTCTTTTTGGTGCCAAAGCTCATTTCAATCTCATCGCAGATTTCAAGCTAAACTTTCCTTGCATCCTTGCTTTCTAGATGGTCATGTTTTTTAGCCCAGAGATCAACCAGAAAACTTTGCTCCTTGTTTGTCCACTCTTCATAGCTAGCCTTTCCTTTCCCTTCTCCTTTAGTGCCGCTTCCAGTCGTTTGGGCTTGTGGTTGTGTTTGTGACTCTGTTTGTTTAATGACTTCTGCTTCTACTTTGTCGAATGGAAACTGAAGTGTTTGAAAAATTGCTCCATTCTCCAAAAATCTCCCTGCAACATGTGGATGGCTGTGCCGGTCATTGTAAAGGGGACAATCCAGCACCTTACAGAATTCGGTTTTTCAGAAGAATAGCTTGCCATTGGGTTTAAATTTCAACCATTAGGATTCATTTTGTCCTCTGTGAAAATCTTAAAATCTAGTTTCGCAACACGAGAAACAACTGAGATGCTAAATTTATATGGTTAAAAGTGGTTATGACATATGAATGACAGGATAAACGAAATTTTGTCTATTTAAATGATTGTGTCTAGTTTTTACCTGGGAGAAATTTTGTTGGCGGTAAGTTTGAAGATTAGTCTGCTTTGGCCAAAATTTGTCAAGTTGCCACAAACCATCTGCACTTGTAGATGGTTGGTGATGACAGAAATTTTGTCGAAACGAACAACTTTTTTTGCTAATGCAGATCGGCCCACAAGCATGAACTTGTATGCCTGACTTGCATTTGTTGTATTAGGCAGGTTTCACAGATGATATCTTCTCTACTTTAATTTCTCATCTGCATGCTTGGTCTAAATTAGATATGCTTTACTTGTTGGTTGACTTGAAGGTTCTTTGCCTTTGTCTTTTTCCAGTATCCATGGATAGACAGTAGTTTATTTCTTCTCCTAGAAGTCTAATCTGAGTTAATTTACAATTAATGAGGATGGACACTAATAACAATAATTATCAAGAAAGTATAGAATGATTTACGACTAAAACTTACTTCATTACATGCTTTAAAAATTAGCAAGCATACAAACTAGTGAAAAATAAAATGTTTGGGTAAAAATACATGTATTTGGGCACTGAAACTAAACCAGGGAATTGATGCACTGATTTCAGTTCTGTTTTTATACCATGTGCACACCATTCCTAGAGCTTTGTTTCACTTAATGTCTTGAAGGTGGAGTGCAACAATTCCAAAAAGACCTTGGGCAGACAGTTATTCCTTTTATAGGTCAACATTCTTGTTACTAGATCTTGTTGTCACTTACACCAGGAGTTCTTGTCAGGAGGACAAACTCTGTGTTGCTTTGCTGAATCTTCAGCTTGGATAGAGTGGTGTAAGATAGTGATAATATTCTTTTTCACGGTGTAAACAGCTACATTTATTTCTATTAGATGGACTTGGGTTGATAGAATGTTCTGTGTAATGTCCAGACCATTGTATCTCTGAATCTGCTTTATTTGTGTGTTGAGGAGGTGGTGAGGTCCTCCAACTGGCTTTTTCATGTGAAAAACACTTATCTCAAGGAAATCAGTGTACATTAAAAACACTGAACAGGCAAAAAGCAAAGAAAAAATTATTCGATATAGAAAGTAACCTAAATCAGAGCAAAAATAAATCAACA